TTAATTTAAGATAAAAGAACAGTTAGCAAGAAGCCTGCCACGGCCATACAGTTTATAAGTGATATAAGCGTCTGAGTGATTATTTTATATGTGGATTGTGGGACTGCGGGACTTGGGGAACCTGGAGAGAAGCCCTCCAGCAACAGTCAGGTGATAGTGGCACATGCCTTTAATACCAGTACTTGGGAAGCAGAGGCAGGTGGATCTGTGTGAGTTCAAGGCCACCCTGGGTCTACAAAGCAAGTTCTAGGACAGACAGGGCTACACGGAAAAACCTTTCAAAACAATCAAACACCAAAAGATTTGGCTTTGTTAGCCTTAACTAAAATTTAAAACTGGGCCTGAGTGACATGAATACACTACTTAGTTACTATAATTCTCTCTCCCTACAATGAATCTAGATTTCATAGACTTCCTTGGAGCTATCACTTTTCTAGCAAAAACTGAGATCACAATGTTCACATTTCAAACTACTCCCCTGCTTCTATCACTGTGGCTTTCTTCAACTGCACCTCCACTCTGGCTTCACAACCTCACCTATAGAAATTCCAGGATTTAGCACTAGTGCAGAAGAAACTAAAGAAATAATTATTTTGTTATACTCATCAGTAGGACTGTAAATATAGCATTCTTTGTTAATGGAACACATAAATTTGTATGCACAGTTGAGCCCTCTCAAAGGAAGACTTCCGTATGAGCTCTCCTGAAAGGTGTTTGCCTTACAGGGAAAGAACCATTTGGTTGGTTGGTTGGTTTTTTGTCTTTAAACATTCTTACCTCATCAAAGCCAGCAGCCTGCAAATCCTGAAACATCTGTGGGTTGACTTCTGAAGGGCTCCGGGAAGAACTCGTTTCATTTGCGAATGGTAGCAGAGAGTTTCGAATTTCTTGCAAGGCTTTATGGTGTGTGCCAAATTTGGGTGGGTTTCTCACTTGCCTGGGATCTTCAGTCGACATCTTGTTCAGGTCATGCTCGGCCTTTGCAGCATCAGATGGTTTGGATAAATTCCTCAGGGATTCTCGGATCTCCTGCAGCATCTGCCGGCTGCTGCCAGGGTAGTTACTGGCAGGAAAGGTCTTAGGCCTCATCTGTCTGTACCCTTCTGGTTTTTCACCCCTCTTCATGAAAGCATCTATATGTGGCCCCCGTGAAGCACTTCTTCAGGAGCTAACCCACGGACTCAGAGATTCCTTCTGAGCAAAGGTGAAAGGGGACGTTCCCAGGAATGTTAAAGTCCTTTACAAACGAAGTGATTAACCTAAAAAAGAAAGTACATAAGTAAAGCTACAGTGGTTGAGAAAGCAGCTCCTTGTATTTGGAGAAACCTCTGCTGCTATGAGAGTTGATAGCTCCCAGGCTAAAGTTCAGACTTCATCTGTAGGTCAAGGTCAAATCACTTCACTTTTCTGTGCCTATTTTCCTAGTTTCTAAAGTGGATTTACATTATTTCTTACTAGCAGTATTTGTGACCCAATAAATAAATAAATAACTGAAGGAAAGGTCACCGTGGTGCACTCTGGCCAAGAACATGTCCTGAAGAATTTCCACTAAGCTGAACTGAAAGGTGATAGATAAATTTAAAGGAGAAAGTTTCACTGGTACTCGGACTATGGCTTGGTTATTGCTGGCCACCTTAACTAGCCTTACTGTGAACATTAGGAGGAAAAAGCAGAAGAGAAAATTTGAAAAAATGGTCAGTTTGGCCAGAAAAGGGAAATATTCAAAGTTTTAGACAAAGGATAGTATAATTTTGGGAGAGCTGGCATTAAAAAGAAACCACTGAGCTAGGGACTGGTAGCGCACACCTTTAATCACCATGCTCAGGAGGCAGAGGCAGGCAGATCTCTGAGTACCAGGCCAGCCTGGGCTACAGAGTGAGTTCTAGGATAACCAAGCCTACACAAAGAAACTTTGTCTAAGGAAAGGAGAGGAAATGAAAGGTAAAGGAAAGGAGAGAGGAAGGAAGGAAGGAAAAGAGAAGAGAATAAATGAAAAGAAACAAAAAGAAAAGAAAAAAAGAGAGAGAGAAACCACAGGTCTGGAAAGATGACTCAGTGGTCAAGAGCACCACTCTTCAGAGGACCAGGGTTCAATTCCCAGCATCCACTTGGCAGGTCACACTACCTGTAACTCCAGTTCCAGGGGATCCACTACCCACTTCTGGCCTTTGCCAGCAACAGGGATGCAAGTGGTACACAGACATACATACAAGGAGAATACCCAAACACATAAAATACTTTTAAAAGAAAAAGAAATCACTGCTTTAGATCAGGGTAGTAAGGAAGACGCTCTGAGAGCATCTCGGATACTGGCCAGACTCCACCCATCACAGGCTCAACATATGAAAGAGTAAGCACATCTGATTTTCCATTAGGAAGACCGCACTTCTGAGGTGCTCTGCTTTCAGGGAGCAGCTTAGAAAGTTGTCTTCCTAAGACTCCTTTCACTATGCTCAGTCACTCAGTCGTTCACAGGCCTATGTAGCTATGTGCAGGATAGGCCCAGCTGGGAGTTGAGCTTGTAGAGGCCTTTGCAGCATCATTGAGAATTCAAGTTACAGGACTTTTAAAAGGAAAGCCTGAATATTAGGCAATGTGTTGCGGTGCCAAAGTTCTTGCAGGCAGCCTCTGAAAGAACAGTGCAAGAAATTGTTGAGGTGAAAGCCTAAAATACCAATTGGAATCCCAGGATGCTGGTAACGCCAGAAACATGGAACACATATCAAGGAAAGCCAAAGTCAGGAAATGAAGCTAGCCAAGAGATAGGCCATGTCCACACAGCAAAGCTATGGTGAAAGGGCTGTCTGGGCCCATGGCACTCAACTTTATGCTATCATGGACCCAGATGCCAGGGCTTAGTTTGGGGTCTTTGTTCCCAATCCTCCCTTTTGAAACAGATTTACTCTGGGTCACTATTAATTAGAAATATATAATTTGCTTTTTTATTTTCCAGGGGCTCACAATTATGAACTTGCCTTGAGCCTCAAGGGAAACTTTGGGTTTTTGAACAAGAGTAGAATTACTGGCACTATGAACATGCTTAGAAAACACAACTGACAGACAGCATTATGAAATGACCACAAGCCTTTGAGGCCTGGTGTGGGGAATGCCTCCAGAGGCTCACTCGTTAAAACCCAGGTGCCCAGTTGGTGACCCCTATTTTGGGAAGTTTCAGAAACATATGTAAAATAAGGACACTGGGCTGGGGATACACCTCAATGGTAGAGCAATTGCCTAGCATGCCCCAAACCCCAGGTTTGATCTACAATACCACACACAAAAAAAATTGATTAAATTCTGATACTGTCAGCTCACCTTCCAGAAATGTACACCAATTTACAACTCCTTCAATGAAGTATGGCTAACATAGGCTGTATCAAGTCTCAATAATCTTCATTACTATGACATGTGAAAACTCAATAATCGTCAAAGAGAATTTTAAAAAGAACTCAAGGCAACCCAGCTTCCTACCCTAGAACTATCAAAGAACAATGCTGGCAGATTAGTCTTTCTAATGAACAATCCTATCATGTTACTTTCCTTGCCCATAGCCATTTACTGCTCTTCCTTCAAGGACTCTCCCACCAGCTGTGGTTAAAGCAAAAGCTCTGGCAGCACACTGCCCAGGAGGAAGCTTAGCCCTCTCTCTGACCTCCACTCCAGGGTCTCTGTATAGCCCTGGCTGGCTGACCAGGCTAATCTCAAACTCAAAGATCTGCTTGTTTCTGCCTCCAGCCAGACTCTCAACTTTTAAACTGATTAGCTGTGTGACCCTGGGCAAGCTACTTAGTCTCTGTGCCTGTTTTTCATCTTCAAATGTAAGCGAAAATTGGATCCATCTCATAGGGTTGTCATTGACATTAAATACGCTCCCTTCAACAGCAGAGTCCTGAAAGTTGGGGGTCTTACTCTCCCCTTTGTAAGTCCACACTTCACCTATCCATCTCCAGACTTGCACCTCACAGTCTAACAAAGTCAATGATTGGCCCTCAGCTAACATACTTGGTGATTTTCTCCTTTAACATTCTTTCTCTCTTTTGTATTCTTGAGGGCCTCTGCCACACTTCTTCTAGAAATTATCCTCGACTTCCAAGGCTTCATTCAAATGCCTCCCCTAACAGAAAAACTCTCCCAGAACCTGTTACGCCCTGAGCACAAGACACAGTTTTCCAAATATAATGTCTGTTCTTGTTATAGTCTTATTTTTCACAGAGGATTTGATGTCTTGACTTTATTTATTTAATGGACAAAGAAAAAAACAAATCTAGAAGTAGAGTGCTCTGAATAAGACTGTCTTATTTATTTGTTTGTTTATTTATTTATTTATTATGTATGCAGTGTTCTATCAGCATTTTTGCCTGCATACCAGAAGAGGGCATCTGATTTCATTATAGATGGTTATGAGCTGATGTGTGGTTGCTGGGAATTGAAATCGGGACCTCTGGAAGAGCAGTCAATATTCTTAACCTCTGAGCCATCTCTCCAGTCCCAATAAAGTTATCTTGTAGTCAGCTGGAGGTAATGCTAAAATGGATCACACATACTCTAACCTAGCCCAAGGCACTTTTCATCACACCTATGTTTTAAGCTTTCTAGATCACACTCAAGCTTGAAAGGACAGTTAAAGTGCTTTAGAAGAAACAAAACTTCCATAAAAAAAAATGAGGTGGGTGGTGGTGGCACATGCCTTTGAATTCTAGCACTTGGGAGACAGAGGCAGGTGGATCTCTGTGAGTTCAAGGCTAGCCTGGTCTACAGAGTGAGTTCCAGGACAGCCAGGGCTACACAGAGGAAACCCTGTCTCGAAAACAAAACAAAACAAAAATTGGACCTTCTTCAAAAGTGCATTGTCTTGTCTATTAGGAAAAACAATAAAGAACAAAAAACAGATACAAATACACAGTAAGATTTCAAAACTTTACACTGAAGCCAGATAAGGTGGCATACACCTTTAATCCTAGCACCCCAGAGGCCGACACAGGAGGATCTCTGTGAATTCAAGGCTAACCTAAACTACAGTGAGTTACAGGTCTGGCAGGGCTATACAGTAAGAACCAGTCTCAGAAACAAACAAAAACAATCCAAGTGTTAACTTGGGCTGGATTAAGCTTATGAAGACAACGCCTACAACGCTTGTTGAATAAGGATGTGCATTGTTTCCTAGCAGCACAGTCTTCCTGCTTAGAGAGCACTACTGACACATCCATCCACTGATCCTAACTGATCAAAGGGCTAGGGAGACGGCTCAGTGGCTAGGAGCACTAGACGATCTTCCTGAGGACATGGGTTCCAATCCTAGCATCCATACTGACAGACCATAATTGTCTGTAACCCCAGTTACAGGGGATCCAACATCCTCTCCTGATCTCAGCAGACACTAGGCACAGATGGTGCACATACACATGCAGGCAAAACATTCCCACACACATGAATACTTAGAAGAGAAGGAGGAGGAAGAAGAAAAGAGTTAACCGACCAAACGTGAAAACCGGGGTAGGGGTGTACGTTGGTTTGCAGAGCGCTGCCGGGCATGCACAAAGACAAGGGTTAGATACCCAGCACCACCTAAAACTAAGCTTGGTGTTATGACTGTAATCTCAGGAGGATCGTAAATTCAAGGACATCCTCAGCTACAGAGCAAATTCTAGGCCAGCCTGGGCTAGAGACCCTGTCTCAAAGACAAATAACAAAAACAAAACAAAACAAAACAAAACAAAAAAAACAGTGAAAACTGCTGAGTGTGGTGGCAAAAACCTAGGCAACCTAGTGAGATCCTGTCTCAAAGTAAAGAGGGTGGGGGTGGAGGGCTTCATAACCATCCACCTATAAGTCCCTACATACATACAGTACTCGGTACCAGAAAAAATGTGAAAAGAATCACATATTTGTACATTGATACTGAAAATGGTCATTTCTACTTTATAATATTATTAAACTTTTGTGGGGTAGAAAAGTCATCTAATCTAAATATCACTTGTAAATGGCATTAAATAATCAGAGTAGGAAACATTCCAAGAGTATATGTATATAGAACAACAAAGACTAGCATGAAAAACAGAAACTTAAATGATGGAAATGAAGCCAGATATCATACACATAGCTTAGGAGAAGATTTTTTTTTTTTTACTTTGAAGAGTCTCAAGACATATTCAGTCAATAATCAGGCACACAGAGAGAGTGCCTTTCCCGGCATGTGCCATGATCTAGGTTCTTGCAATAACAGCCTGTAGGAGAAACGCAAAGGCTCCTGGACTGCCTGCCTTAGGGAATCACCTGGCC